GGGAGCGCCGCCGCACTCCCAAGCGGCGCACTGTAGCAGTGCGCCACCGGGCCGGCCCCTAGTCTTTCTGAATGTTCTGGGCCAGCAGGTTGCATGCTGTGCCAGTGGCCCCAGGGATCAAGTGGGATGAGGATGCTGCTTAGAGCATCATGTGGTGGAGACAGTGCGTTTGGTTGGGTGTGGCCTTCAGTATGGCCCACAGTGTAATAGGGCTGCGTGGTGTGCTACTATTTTGTGTGGAATGGCTGCATAGATTGCCAGTGGGTTGTGTTTTGGGTCACTATGAATTATCCGCAGGGCATTCACCCTTCGTGTGACTGCTCAAGGTTTCTGGACCCTGGAAAGCTAAGGTGGGGCAGCGAAGGGCATCTCTGTCTTGGGTGCCCTGTCCCTTGGTTTCACTAGATCCCAATGTTCTTGAGTCTCTTGATGCTGCTTAGGCTTAGAACACCTGGCAGAGGGGAAGAGAAACCTAGTCTGGGGTCCTGCTGAATTCAGAGCTCTTATTTTGCACCCCACAACCACACTTCTTTGCCGGAGGCATCCCCACCAAGCCCCTTGGCTGGTCCCTTCCTTTGCCCAGCTTCCAACAAAGGCGGCCGACCACGTGCCCCTCCTCGACGCGGGCCTGGAGTGGGGACGCACACAGCCCCGGGCCCGGGCTCCAGCCAGGGCTGGTTTCCGACGCTGCGCTGCTCCCCAGGTGGGCGAGGAGCGGTCCCCCGGTGGTCCCGCCGCCCCTGGCTGTGCCTCGCCCACTCCCAGCCGCAACCGCTGCATCTTCCTCGAAGCGGCGCTAGGGGGAGCTCTGGCAATTGGCTTGGCGGATTGAATCAAAATCGTGCATCCAGCAGCTTTCCTTGGACTTGCAGGGGGAAAAATGGGGTGGGAGGAGATGCACTGTTCCCCCCCCTCAGCAGCTCCTGACTCTTCCCTTGAGAGGCCAGAAAACAGCCCTGGGGGGCGGGGTGTGTGAAGGTGCCTTTCCTCCCCGTAACTCACGTGTCCAGAGCCTCCCTCCTCCCCCACCCCCATCGCGGACTTTCGCGGCCCCCCGCGTCCTGGAGAGTGTCCCCGAGAACTTGGCCTCGCGCGACACTGGGACCCAGAGCCGAGCAGTCCCCTGAGACTGGCGTGCGTCCGCCTCTCGGAGCCTGAGCTGGGGGCCTCTTGGCCGCAGCCCTTCCTCTCGCTGCGGGAGGCGCACAGGCTGGGGTGAGGGGGCGTGAGCAGCCCTGCGGGGTGGCCGGGAGGCCCGCGCAGGAAAAGGGAGCGAGAGGGCTTTGGGGAGACAGCCAGAGACAGAGGGACCCCGAGAGAGACACCATCAAACAAACAGAGCAAGCAGGCTGCCACTTGTTTTTTTTTTCGTTCTTTCTTTCCTTCCCATCCCCTCTTTGCAAAGCTGGAACCTCCTCGCGCGCCCCCGGGCCCGAGCCGCGGCTCCAGATGTGAATTTGGTTCCAGTGCGGAGAGCGCGAGCTTCCTCCGGGCCCTGGCACATTCTCCCACTCTGAGGTCATTCCGTAGGTGGTCAGAGGGGAGAGCGCGCCTGGAGCTTTCCTGCCTCCATCCACTGGGGAGGGAAGAGCGGCGGGAGGGAAGGGGAGGAGCGCGAGCAGGGAGGGACGCCGCCAGCACACCACCAAGTGGCACGGAGCAGTGATAACAAACTCAACTTAAAAAAGGAGAAAAAAAGAAAAGGAAAAACTTCCCCAAGTTGCAGCCCGAGACGTGCGGACGTGCGGGCGGAGGCGCGGGGCAGGGAGTGTGGGTGGCCCCGAAGCCCCTCCGAGTCTCCGGGCTGCGCTTTGCTGACGCAGAGAGCTCAGACGTGAGGCCGACCAGGCCCTGCGCCCCTGGCTGGGCAGGAAACGTGCTGAAGCCTGGCTCGGCTTCTTTCTAGAGACCCCGGGGCGGCCGGGGGTGGGGTGGGGGGCAGGACCCACGGGAGACGGCCCCGGCCCCATCCCCAGCGACCAACCCCACCCCCTTCCTGCTTCCACCCCCGGCCCTGCGGATGTGGGCAGATCCCGCCCGCCCAGGCCTCAGAGAGCTGGAGTTTGCATGGGGTGGGGGGTCTCTCCCCACCTCCCTGTGTTCGTTCTCTCAGCCACCCCCAGGCTGATCTGAAAACAAAGCACCATCATGCTCTATAATCGACTTTTTATTAAGATTATAAATTTAAACAAATAATCTGAACAGTTTTACCCGGTGATATACAATTCAGTATGCACAAAAAAATACAGGAGAATGAGGGAGAGGGGCCGAGAACGGACGGGTTGGCAACTTGCTTTCGAGTCCACATGGTGCTGATGGCAGATAACCAGAGGGGCTGCAGATGAACCCCACCTTTTTGCTTTTATACAACAAAAGACTTTTAAACAAAATCTATCGAGCTGAGGACACAGGACAGGATTCTCACAGGCTCGAACAATGCTGGTTTCATGAAATGCAACCAAAAGCTGAACCAGGACAGTGCCACTTAGAAGCACACACACAAACACCACAGCTGACCAGGAACTTAGTGAAAAGTCCCCAACGCGGTCGGCGGCCCCGGCCCCTTCCTCCCCCGGGGCCGCCGGCGACCCAGGTGAAGGAATCGACTTCCTTTTTTGTTTAGTGAGGACCGCAGTGCTGGGAATGATGGGAAATGTAGTCCGCCGTGCCCGCCCCCCACCCCTTCCCCAAACAGCGTCCGAGAGTGTCGTGGTGCCCGGCGCCACCCCAGAATCCGGGAGACGGGCGGAGGAGGGGAGAACAGAGCCAGAGGGGCGGGGAGAAGAGGGGTTCAAGACACCCGCCCGGGAAGAAAAGAGAAAAAAGTTGAAGTGTTTCCATTTTCTGCCTTCTCATTTTGAGAACTTCGGAGGCCGCCCCCAGAGAGGAAATGTGACCCAAACGTCCCTTTCGGAGATAGAGTTTGCCTTTGTTTTTGCTCACGATTTCACAAGACTCATTCTTCACCCCACGTACGGACTCGGGAGAACGGAACGTCGGGCTTCCCGGGTCTGACAACTGATTGAAATCGGCGTCCCGGGCCCCGCGCCCTCCCGCGCTGCGCCCCCGGCGCGCCCCGGTGGCCCGGGCGCCCTGCCTCACCCCCCGCTGCCCGGCACCTCCTCCGGGCACAGCCCTCCCTCACGTGGCAGGCTCCTCGCTAAACACCACTGCAATCACTACAATAAAAAGAAAAAAAAAAAAAAAAAAAAAAAAAGAGTAGGAGAAACACAAAGCATACTTAAATAGGCGCTTTTTCTCTCTGCAAAAATAAAGTCCAAGATTTTAGATTTCTTTTTCTTTTATTTTACAATTTATAAAACATCAGTCGTCTCTCCTTGCTCGCTCCCAGCTCAGCCCCGAGTGGCCGGGCGCCCGCTCGTTCCCTCCTCTCGCCCGTTGGCCGAGTCTTTGTCTGGCCCCAGCCCCGCGGGGCCCCGGGTGCCCGTGCCCTCGGGGGTCCCTAGAAGGCGACAATGGCTCGAGTCCAGGCGCCGAGGCTGGCAAGCGCTTGCTTGGCGCACAGCTGCCCGTTGAGCGGCGGCGGCTGCTCTGAGGAGTCCGGCTGTCGGCTCACCAGCCCCGAGAAGCCCGAGCCAAAGATGGAGATCAAGTTTGAGATGTTGGACGCGTCCGGGGACGAGTCCGGGCAGAAGTCCTCGAAGCGGGCGCGCTTGCAGGGGGCGAACGGGGCGCCCCCGGGGGGCTCGGCCCCCAGGTCGCCTGCGTCCTCCTCCTCGTCGTCGTCCTCTTCCTGGCCAGGGTAATACTTGCGCTTGCAGCCGGCGGCGGACGCCAGGCCCGGTCCCGGAGCGCCCTGGCCACAGCAGGGGCAGTGGGCGGAGGCGCAGCAGTCCTGGTGCAAGTAGCCGTTCTCCACCGTGGTCACCACGTGAGTGTCCAGGTCCAGCACGGTGGTCTGGCTGCTGCAGTGCACGCCGAAGTCCGAAGGGGCCGGGTATGCGCCCCGGTAGAAGCTGGGGGAGGAGGCGGGGGCCGCGGAGGCGGGCGGGGAAGCGGCGGCGGCGGCAGGAGGGGCGGCCCCTTGGGGCGCGGAGGGCGCGGAGCAG